CCCCCTCCCCCCATTGTCAACTGAGCTAAAACTCAACATTGATGTGGTGTTCAAAGGCAGCTATAAAAAAGGCGGGATTGGTCGAATATTCCGGGATAAATCTGAAAACTGGATCTTGGGCTACAAAATGCACGCTTATGGCTACACCCCCACCTACATGGAACTCCTCGCGCTAAAAAGTGGACTTCTAATAGCAAAAAATCATAATCTCCATAGCTTAGAAATTGAAACTGGCTACTGAAATACCTCACCTGCTTTCCCATAACAACTGTTCTCTCTACTCTAACCTTGTTAATGAGTGCATGTTGTTACTGAAAGATCTGGAGAATCCAATGATCCGACACAATTTTCGTGAGAGGAACAAACTTGCGCATAATTTGGCAAAGGAAGGATCCAAGCAATCAAGCAATACTCCCTTATCAACAAAGTTCCACCCACCAAATGTTTTTTAAAAGTTGCTATAGGAGGACAAAGCTGGAGCATCTACTACTAGATTAGTGTCTACCAATGTACTAAACAAACTAGCCGAACTTGGGAACTTTAATAGCTTTTGTAATATGGCTAGCAGCCCCTCTGGCTCAGGTATTTTTGATGCCCCTAATGAGACATCACCTCTCCTCTATGTAATGCTACTACTTAATTATTAATATAAATTTCGTCGTTCTAGCAAAAAATGGGTTCAAAGTGCAAGAAAAGAATTTTCATGCGTAATATCTACAACAGAAATCAAAGGACCGGTTAATAAATTAAAACAAAAAAGCAATTCTTGGGGCAAATTTTAGCGGGGAAAACATAGTTGATGCACAACAGTTCAACCAACTTGAAAATATTGTCATATTGTAATATATGACAAAACTATCTTAATTTTACTGGTAATTATCAACAAATAAATGAAAAAATATTATGTCACTAGACTAATAGACTATATTCAAACTACTTAACTAAATTCTTTTAGTAACAACCGTGAATGTTATCATTAATAATAAATAAATAAATAAATAAATAATTAATGTACCTAGAGCACCTAATCCTACAACCACCTTCTAAAAAGGGAGAAGTGAAACTTACGCCTCAAGACAGTCACTAATTACATTAGTAAACTTTGCACAACACATCTACACATGCATTTTCTTAGAAAATTTAAGTAAATATTTGCTACTATTTCCTTCTTAATCTGTGTGACTGCCACCTCCGTATGCACATTTACGATCCTTTAAATAATTTCCAATTCCTAGCTCTCCATATATGATAGATCATAGCCCCTCGCCAGAAATTGCAGTTATCACATCCTTCTTGAATTACTTTGAACGCTTCCTTTTGATTCTGCCTAAGACTTGCATCACCAACTTGCATTTGAATTCCAGCTCATTGCATAAGGGGTTCCCTGGCAGTTTGAGCCCAAGTGCAATCCACAAATAGGTCTTGATTAGTTTCCAGTTCCTGATTAGTTTCCAGTTCCTGAGTATCATATAAGCAACATGTCATATTTTTCACATGAATATGTAACTTGAGTAATCTCTAATTCCTAAGCAACCTTCATTGAACAACCAACCATATTATATATAAATCTATATTTTGGTTGAGCTACTCCACTCCAGATGGGTTCACTAATCTCTAGCCTTCTTTAGGTCACAATAATGGCAATTTAACTTGTTGTGACACCAAGTGCTAAGAAGAGAAAGACTTCTAAGAAGAAGTTCACTGCAAAGTCTGTTGATACAGAAAGCTCTCGCTTGGCAAAAAGAACCAGGTCTGCCAGAAAATCAAGAAAAGTGCAAATAGTGGAAGAAGATAGTGAAGAGGAAGAGGAGACTTATGGAGAAAAAGACAAGATGGTTAACTTTGAAAAAAAAACAATTTTGAAGGGGAGGCTTCTCAAAGATTTGGAAGAGGAAGGAAGGACATGGTCCTTCAGTTGGAAGGAAGGTTAGCCCGAGCTGAAATTGTGGAATTCTTTGCAAATTGTGAGACAGAGAATGGAAGGGTAAACAGTGTGGTGAAAGAAGTGAAGGTGAGCTTTAATGATAATGAGCTAGGGGAGATTCTAAAGATACCTGTTGAAAGCTAAATAAGCAACATGTCATATCGTTCACATGAATATGTAACTTGAGTAATCTCTGCTTCCTAAGCAGCCTTCATTGAAGGCCAACCGTACTATATATAAATCTATATTTTAGTTGAGCTATTCCACTCTATATGAGTTCAGCAATCTCTAGCCTTCTTTAGGTCCCAAGAATGGCAATTTAACTTCTTGTGACTTCAACTGCTAAGAAGAGAATACTTCTAAGAAGCCCCCTGCAAATTTTGTTATACAGAAAGCTCTGGCTTGGCAAAAAGAACCAGGTCTACCAGAAAATCAAGAAAAGTGCAAATAGTGGAAGAAGAGAGTGAAGAGGAAGTGGAGACTGATGAATAAAAGGACAAAATGGTTAAGTTTGGAAAAAGAACAATTCTGAAGGGGAGGCTCCTCACAGATTTGGAAAAGGGAGCAAGGACATGGTCCTTTAGTTGGAAGGAAGATTAGTCCGAGCTAAAATTGTGGAATTCTTTACAAATTGTGAGATAGAGAATAGAAGGGTAAACAATATGGTAAAAGGACTGAAGGTGAGCTTTGATGATAATGAGCTAGGGGAGATTCTAAGAATACCTGTTGAAGGCTACATAAGCAACATGTCATATTTTTCACATGAATTTGTAACTTGAGTAATCTGTAGTTACTAAACAGCCTTCATTGTACAACCAACCATACTATATATAAATCTATATTTTGGTTGAGCTACTCCAGTCCAGATGAGTTGAACAATCTCTAGCCATCTTTGAGACCCAATAATGGCAATTTAACTTCGTGACTCCAAATGCTAAGAAGAGAAAGATTTCTAAGAAGAAGATCCCTACAAAGTCTATTGATACAGAAAGCTCTGGCTTGGCAAAAAGAACCAGGTCTGTCAGGAAATCAAAAAAAGTGCAAATAGTGGAAGAGAGTGAAGAGGAAGAGGAGATTGATGAAGAAAAGGACAAGATTGTTAGGTTTGGAAAAAGAACAATTCTCAAGGGGAGAGTCCTCAAAGGTTTGGAAGAGGATGGAAGGGTCCTTCAGTTGGAAGAAAGGTTAATCTGAGCTGAAATTGTGGAATTCCTTGTAGATTGGGAGATAGAGAATGGAAAGGTAAACAATGCGGTGAAAGGGGTGAAGGTGAGGTTTGATGATAATCAACTAGGGGAGATTCTAAGGAAACCTGTTGAAGGCTACATAAGCAACATGTCATATTTTTCACATGAATATGTAACTTGAGTAATCTCTACTTCCTAAGAAGCTTTCATTGAACAACCAACCATACTATATATAAATCTATATTTTGGTTGAGCTACTCCACTCAAGATGAGTTCAACAATCTCTAGCCTTCTTTGGGTGCCTATAATGGCAATTTAACTTCTTCTGCCTCCAAGTGCTAAGAAGAAAAAGACTTCTCAGAAGAAGTCCTCTGCAAAGTTTGTTGATACAGAACGCTTTGGCTTGCCAAAAAGAACCAGTTCTACCAGGAAATCATGAAAAGTGCAAATAGTAGAAGAAGATAGTGAAGAGGAAGAAGATACTGATGAAGAAAAGGACATGTGGTTAGGTTTGGAAAAAGAACAATTCTAAAGGGAGGGTCCTCAAAGATTTGGAAGAGGAAGTAAGGACATGGTCCTTCAGCTGGAAGGAAGGTTAGCCCGAGCTAAAATTGTGGAATTTCTTGTAAATTGTGAGATAGATAATGAAAGGGTAAACAATGTGGTGAAAGGTGTGAAGGTGAGATTTGATGATAATGAGCTAGAGGAGATTCTAAGGATACCTGTTGAAGGCTACATAAGCAACATGTCATATTTTTCACATAAATATGTAATCTCTACTTCCTAAGCAGCCTTCATTGAACAACTGATCATACTATATATAAATCTATATTTTGGTTAAGCTACTCTACTCCAGATGCGTTCAGCAATCTCTAGCCTTCTTTGGGTCTCAATAACTGCAATTTAACTTGTTGTGACTACAAGTGCTAAGAAAAGAAAGATTTCTAAGAAGAAGTCCCCTGAAAATTCCGTTGATACAGAAAGCTCTGCCTTGGTAAAAAGAACCAGGTCTGCCAGAAAATCAAGAAAAGTGCAAATAGTGGAAGAAGAGGGTGAAGAGGAAGAGGAGACTGATGAAGAAAAGAACAAGATGGTGAAGTTTGAAAAAAGAACAATTCTGAAGGGGAGGCTCCTCAAAGATTTGGAAGAGGAAGGAAGGACATGGTCCCTCAGTTGGAAGGAATGTTAGCCCTAAAAAGTTTAAGATAGAGAATGAAAGAGTAAATAGTGTGGTGAAATGAGTAAAAGGTGAAGTTTGATGATAATGAGCTAGGGGAGATTCTAAGGATACATGTTGAAGGCTACATAAGCAACATGTCATATGTTTCACATGAATATGTAACTTGAGTAACCTCTACTTCCTAAGCAGCCTTCATTGAACAACCAACCATACTATATATAAATACTAGATATCCCGTGCATGTGTTGTGCACGGGCCTAACACGACCATAAGCCTAACACCACTGCACAAAATAGGTCCGAGAGTAAGAAAGATAATTTCATACTTGTGTAGTAAGATTACCCCCGAAAAATAAAATGACGAAGCAATACCATCCGTTGACTAAATATTACAACATAATACACCACATTCATTTGTTTAGCTTCATTAGTCCAATTGCATTTTTAGCTTGCTTCTATGAGAATGAGAAAGATAAAAACAATCAGATAAATCGTGTTCATGTTGGTAGTCCCACTAATACAAAATATTGGATAAAATTTGGACAGTTGCAGTTGACAACAAATACTTCATCTTATATCCACCTAAAGAAAAGAAAATCAAGCATTAGTATTATTGGTAAGACTTACATATGGTAGTATAACAATCATAAAATTCAGCTAGTTTGCATATTCAGCAAAACAATCATAAATTCATTAATTTTGGAGGAAAAAGAGGGGCATAAAATATCAGCATGGACTAAGAGGAGAAAGAAAAGATTCAGACACGGTAGACCTATTGAAATGCCCCCATCAAAGGCATGTTCTAAATCTGAATTGGGTCTCTTCTTTTTAGCAATCTATAGCTAGGCATTAAATAATGATTTACAACCTTGGAGGACCTATTTAGGGATATGAACCTTTAACCTATTTCATTGGAGGAGACTATCTTCATTGATTTTGGTATTGATGTAATAACTGAAAAGTGATACACACCAAATTTAAAATAGAAAATCTGCAATAGAAGCACTACCAGTAAATCACAATTCACAACCATACTCGCATATTCTGTGACTTAGGAGAGATCATGTAGTGGTATTTCTATTTCAATCACCTGACCCTACTCTATTCATGAGAACAACTGCTATCTATGTTGAATGAATGCGTCCAGGTTACTACAAAAATTTCTAGACAAATTCTAACTTCTGCAAATACTACTTCAATTGCCTTATTTCTATTATATACTTACAAGCAACGACCATCTCATCATGACCATCTATCGAAGAGATGCACCAAAAAGATCTGAAAAACATAAAGCAGATAAACGAACCTTCAAAATATAAGTTTTGAGTAGTATTTAAACACATGTTAAAGGATACAATGAAAAGAAGCATATTGCCAACGACAAGTCTGTTTTTTCATTTCCTTGCAAAACTTACTAATGACAAACTAAGTGAATGTGTGGGCTAAAGATGTTGCAACCTGATCATTCTAGATATGTCCATGTTATTGTCCTTGGTGGGGCTTCAGTGAGAGTTCATCATTTATAATTTGCTGCTTTTGAGGCTAGTGAAAAATATTCAACATGTTGTGCGAGAGATTTGGAAACAACAGTTATCACTTATCACATGCCATCAGTTCTTGCTCGATCCTTATCTATATGAAATAAAGCGTGCGTCTATACCGATAAGTAGATATTGATTGATCTCAACTAATCAAGGGGAAAATGTTTGATATTTTGGTCAATTCAAAATATCATAATAAAAATACCCCCGTACCCTGACAACTTAAAAAAAGTGAAAAGAAGAAAGGAATGTTGAGGCTAGGAATGAAGTGCAAAGAGAAAACTGGAGAAATAAAACTCACATGCAGACATCCACTAATCAAACAAATCAAATGCTCAAAAAACAAAATCAGAGAACATAGCTTACCAATTAATACAATCGCAGCACACCAGATTGATCGGCAAAGGACTGTCAATCCAACTAAAGAAGATACTATCATGTGACAGAAGCATTATTCAAAGTTCAAACTTGCCGCAATTATTACTCCCACCGTTCCAGTTTATGTAAACCTAGCTATTTCCTTTTTGGTCCGTTCCAAAAAGAATGACCCCTTTCTAAATTTGGAAACAATTTAGCTTAAACTTCCAATTCTACCCTTAATGAGAAGCTTTTATAACCACACAAATACTCTGGTCCCCATTTTGACTTGTTTAGGACCACAAATTCTAAAAAAGTCATCATTTTTTCTTAAACTCCGTGATCAGTCAAACATGTTCACATAAATTGGAACAGAGGGAGTATTATTGAAAAAAATGGAAGGGAAGGAAAAGATAAAGCTGTAATTTTGATTACTTTTGCTCCACGCGTATAGTAGTCACCGGAACATCTATGTACAAGATAAAAAGTCATAAGCAAGCTGCGGTAAGGACTTTATTTTCCTGCAAAACAATTGTTGATGTATAGAAAAACATGTTACTAATTTATATGAGGGAATCAATTAGGATATTTGCGAACGAACATTTAAACTTGTTGCTAAATTTTTATGTTTGAGTAGCTTAGTAACTTTTATTCTCTGTGTAAAAGCATAGGAGTTAGCAGGACTTCAGAATATGCAAGCATTTGAACTATCTCGGAGGAGTTGATTGAAATATTTCAAGAATTTCTCAAGGATTAATCTTCATTTCCTGCACATACTCTAGTCCCTCTCGAGATAGTAATTCTGGGGTTTTCACATTATAAAATGACATAAAGATGATCTCCGAATGATCTTCTTAGCTGCTACTTGATTTTCAAATGTATCAACCAAATCAGACAACCCAATGAATGAAAGCTCTTAATCTTCATTATACTCCAGCATAGAGCGATAATGTCTCAAATTCTAGAGTAATCTTAATATCTCGTTCTGAACACTTATGTCATTTGAGTATCAAATAAATCTCAGTTGTAACCTAAAAGCAACAACCATAAATTCCAGCTTTGTTTCTTTGATACTATGTTGTAGATTAGTTTTATGGAGTTACAACCAACAAATCAGAAGTAGAAAGATTCAAAAAATGACGAAGAAACAATAATAATTCAACGATGATAGATAAACAAAATTGATTGTCCTTGTAATATTGCATAGATCAGAGAGCTATTGTTGAAATGTGAGACCCGTTTGGCCATAGATCACTTTTGACACGGAACCAACCCCCAGAGGAAACAGAGGGACAACAACACAAAACTGCAGCACATCCCTATTTTTATTTCTAAAGCAAGAAAGAACAACGACACTGCCACTCTTCAATTAATTTCTAAATCAATTCCCAAATAGAATTTCAGTGCACCTTTATCATCTCTCAACGCAATTCTAATGTGCAAAGTCGCCCAAACCTGTAGAAGTAAGAGGTTCTTACTCCCATGTAGTCTAAATACTTTTTTTCTTACTATTTTCTTCAATCCTTTATCTTCTTTTTTATAACAAGAATAAGTACAACTATAGATTTGTTGCCTAACATAAACTTTTCCTAAGCATTCATCCCACAAATCAAAGTAGGCAAATAACTTTAAGCTTTTCCTAATCATGTATATTCCAATCAATCAACCTCCATTCCATACATCATCCTATTTCTTTGGATGCTGTCATAGCCAAAAAGAAGTGACAAAATAAGACGGTAAACTTTCCTCTTCCATTGTTATCTTCGAGAAATAGAGTAAGACAGTGGACACATAGAAGGTTTGAAGATGAAATTTCATAAAGATACCCCACGCCCTAGATCACTTTCAGCATTCTAAAGATGCCAAGTGAATGTAGAAATTTGAAAGTTCTAAAAGATGGATATATATTCTTTGTTCCGAGTTGGCGATTTTGGTGTTATAGATGTAGTTTATTGTAAGGTCTGTAATGTTATTTGAAAAGTGTTCATGACGGCTAGTAAGATGATAAAGCCCATAATACTGTATGTAATACCCGAAAGAATTGTACTCTAGCTAGTTTGTTGAACATACCATCACAATCTCGGTGTTGTTTGTAATTAGAAAATTTACCTTTTTAATCAAAAGCAATATAAGGAGAAAATATGGTCAAAGTATAGAATCAGATATGCTGAGCACATTTTTCCTGAAATAAAAAGAACTCAATTTAGTAAAAATTTTGATTCATATCTTCTCAAGCTCAACCTGAGACTATACTTTCCTAAAGTCGGAATAGGATCGTTCTCCACTTCACGAGATTTTAAAAAGAACAACTTAATTTTGTAAATACTTCATTAATCATTTTTCCCAAATAAAGTTTTTAAACATATAAAATCTCTATAAGAAGACAAAAGTGAAAGAACACAAGTATTTTTCTTGGCTGTACATTAAAAATAAAAAGAATGCATTTGAAACATTAGTTTGCTAATTTCAGTACTGTTGAAGAAGCCTTGTAAAACATTAAATTCGGATAGCCTAACATACAATTATTTCTTGTTAGCTAAGAAGTCCTTTAAAGTATGCATCAACTACCGTCAACAGTCAGATAAATATTACTTCTCATTTAATTCTATCCTCTCATGTCTACAGCAGTTTAGAAAATCCACAAAATTGTTTAGATCCTGGGGCCATCTTACAATTACACCAAGAATACACAAACTGCAATGACTTGAATTGAATACATGCTAAGGCCCAATAAGTATTTTGAAAAAAACTATAGTTTCTTTCCACATTGTGCAAAAAAAGCACGAAGGAACTTATTACTGGATGTCTTTGTGAATGTAATAGAAAATCTCATGAATTAAGCATAAAAAACCTTTTGTTCTTGGGGATAATTGCATTTTTAATGAGTTACTAATATTGAAAAGGGGAAGTAAGTAAAAGTAAACCAAAATGTGCAGAACTTACCTGGTACAAGTGAAGCAATATTCCTTTCCCCACTTTCAGTTAACAACTTCCTTTAAGAAAAATCTGAAAAATCAATATTTTGGGACCATTATATTCCTACTAAATGAATACAAAAATATTCGGTAATATCAAAAGTTCATATTTCAAACAAAACCCAAGTAAGCGATACACTATTCAGTTTAATAGAGTCTCGTCAAAAAATAATAAAATAGGAGTAATAATTTTGAAAAAGAAGAAGATAAACCCAATTAAAGAACATTGTGTGAGAAAAATATTGTGCATGAGTAAATCAAACATATCTACTGACATGTATGTATAACATTCAATAAAATACTGCCCAAAAGTTCAAGATGCCCAAAAAATTATATTAAAAACAGGATCCAAACACATGCATAGCCGAGAAAACAGAGGAAGATGCAAAGAAGGTGTCCAATTCCCTGCTTCTTAGTAGGAGAAACTGATAGATAAGTCACCAAAGAAACCCCAAATTTTCCATCTTTCAATTTTCTTTTTCAAACTTTCAGTTCATACACTTTGAAAACCTAAATAGACACAATTCAATAATGTAGCCACATAAGACTCACCAATCCTTGTAACATTAAAAAAATTAGAAATGGTAAAAGATAAAAGATAAAAGATATTCTCCATCTTCATAATAGCCAAAGGTAACACATAAATATTAAAAAAATGAACCCAGATGGGACTAAATCTAAAAACTGAGCAAAATATTAACAGGGGGAAGAAGAAAAAGGCATCAGCAAGAGAAAGAGTCGGTGGAAGGGAAATTGAGAAATGTAGGAAAAAGGAACTAAACCCACGTGCTGGGTGGAAGTCCATAAGTCAACATAGGAGAAGCTCACGTGGGTATCAACCATGAGACTGAATCACCAAACTACCCCTAACAAATATTTAAATTCCGAAAAGGCCCTTAGTCGTCCTACGAAACTTCCCTTATTATATACTCCTTCCGTTCCAATTTATGCGAATTTGTTTGACTGGGCACGAAGTTTAAAAAAAATGAAGACTTTTAGAATTTGTGGTCCTAAACAATTCAAAAAGGGGTCCAGAGTATTTGTGTGGTTTTAAAAGCTTCTAATTAAGGGTAGAATTATAAGTTTAAGCAAAATTATTTTCAAATTTAGAAAGGGGTCATTCTTTTTGGAACAGACCAAAAAGAAAATAGGTTCACATAAACTAGAACGGAGGTAATAGTTAATATATTTTGGTTGAACTACTCCACTCCATATGAGTTCAGCAATCTCTAGCCTTCCTTGGGTCCCAATAATGGCAATTTAACTTTTTGAAACTTCAAGTGCTAAGAAGAGAAAGACTTCTAAGAAGAAGTTCCCTGCAAAAATCTGTTGATACAGAATGCTCTGGCTTGGCAAAAAGAACTAGATCTGCTAGGAAATAAAGAAAAGTGCAAATAGTGGAAGAAGAGTGTGCAGATCAAGAGGAGATTGATGAAGAAAAGGACAAGATGGTTAAGTTTGGAAAAAGAACAATTCCAAAGGGGAGGCTCCTCAAAGATTTGGAAGAGGAAGGAATGGTGATGTTATTGGAGAAGTTAGAGATTTAGTATCACGACCCGGAATTCCAACCCTCGGGACAATGATGGTGCCTAACACTTCACTTGCTAGGGAAGCTAACATTAGGATAGTTTTAAATAATTTTTAACAAATCAAATTAACTGATGCCAATTGAACTGAAATAATTGTAATATAACTGAAATAAAGTGTGAAAAATTATAACAACCAAAAATACAACCCAGAACTGGTGTCATAAGTGCACGAGCGACTAGAATAATACATACAATGGTCTGAATGAAAGTAAAATTGTCTGAAAAGAAGTAAGCAGCTAGGATGTCTGATCCAAGCAATCTACTAACCGTCGTTGGGATTGACTCTTAAGTCTGCACAAGAAATGCAGAATGTAGTATGAGTACAACCGACCTCATGTACTATGTAAGTGTCTAGCCTAACCTCCACGAAGTTGTGACGAGGCTAAGGAAGGTCACGTACAATAACCTGTGCGTAGTATAATAATAATAATGACAGGAAAGGAAATACAAGAAAATAAAGCAGTTAACTCATGACAGTAACCTCAATCCTCGAAAACCAGTAAAACCTGAATTTCAAATCCTTAGAATCTCGTACGAAAACACATAAGCCACAATACTATAACAAGGAATACAAAGCACACAAACCATTGCAGCGCACAATCTGATCCCACCGTACAAACACGATCCTCCCTTATTTCACCATATCAATAATAATAATAATAATAATAATAATAATAATAATAATAATAATAATAATAATAATAATAATAATAATAAGTAAAATATGTTGTGGCGCGCAACCCGATCCCACCGTACAAACAAAATCAATATCATAATTCATCCTTATTTCACCATATCAATCCTCCCTTATTCCACATATTGCGGCGTACAACTCGATCACATTATATCAATATCAATCCTCTCTTTATTCCACATGTTGCGGCGTGCAACCCGATCCATAAACACAATTCGATAAATAAAATCTATTCAACAACTCAAATCACAAGAATCTCTACGATTAGCGAATATGAAAGCAAAACCATAATGCACCACAAACCGGTTTTGTGGTCGCATAATGCACCGCATAACCTTCCTCCGAAAATGCTCAAAGTTGGATATGCGATAAGAGTGCGGCCCGCAAAATAGTTATGCGGTCCCATAAAGTGTCCACAAAAATGACATCTAAAAGACCGAAAAAACTGCCTCACTCTGTGACCAGTCTGCGGTCCGCAGAGTGGTTCTGCGGCTACATAAATGCCTACCTCTACCCAACATTTCCTTCAACTCCCTAGCGTATTGTTCAATTCGAAAAGTCCGAACCACGGCTCGCAAGCTTACCGTGGAGAACTTTTACTATTATTAACCTCTACGCCTACCCCGGCATCACGGAATCCCATTTTTTAGGAAAAGTTTATCGGGGCCTTACATCCTCCCCCACTTAAGATCATTCGTCCTCGAATGAGGGTCAAGGTTCACTATTAGCATCTTATGCAACTTAGTTTTCATACCACACACCAACAACCCAAAATTTGACTAACTCCCTAAACTCTCAAAATGTTTCTAGTGTTTCCCTTGTAACTAGGCATATCCACGTGTTAGAGAGTCACAGAAACACATCCCTAAAACATATACACAAACTAATGACGTAACATAACACAAAACAATACCAACGGTGGCCTCACATACATTATATTACTAGAGAGGAACACCCTTAACGTCAATTTGTACAAATGATACGTAATTCATAAAAGGTAACCCTTAGAATTTTCATAGAACACAACTTTATAAATACATGGGTATTCAAGCAAATAAGGATATTTTTTCTTCATTTCTTCATCGGCCTCCCAAGTAGCCTCTTCAACTTGTTGGTTTCGCCATAGCACTTTCACGGAGGCAAATTCTTTATTTCTCAACTTCCGGATTTGCCTATCAAGAATGGAAACTCGAATTTCTTCATATGACAGTTCTTCATTAACCTCAATGGCCTCAACCGGCACAATAGCTGACGGATCTCTAACTACCTTCTTCAACATAGACACATGGAATACTGGGTGAACTAATGACATCTCAGGTGATAGCTCAAGCCTGTACGCCACCTCTCCGATCCTCTGAATGATTTTGTACGGTCCGACATACCTCGGACTCAATTTCCCTTTCTTACTAACTCGCATTACACCTTTCATGGGGGAAAATTTCAAGAATACTCAGTCATCTTCTTTGAATTCCAAATCCCTACGACTAACATCTGAATAGGGCTTCTGATGACTCTAAGCAGTCTTCAACCGCTCCTTAATGATCTTAACCTTTTTCGCAGCCTGATGCACGAGGTGTGGCCCTATAAACTCTGCTTCCCCAATCTCAAACCACCCAATGGGAGATCTCCATCCCCTACCATATAATACCTTAAATGGTGCCATCTGAGTACTAGCATGAAAGTTGTTGTTATAAGCAAACTTTATGAGTGGCAAATGATCATCTCAGCTACCCTACAAGCACGCAATATGTCCTCAAGCGTCTGAATAGTTCTCTTTTCTTGCCCGTCGGTATGTGGATGGAATGTTGTACTAAGATTCACCTGAGTACCCAAACTTTGCTGAAAATTCTTCCAAAACTTTGTCGTGAACTGAGCCCCTCGATCGAAAATGATAGAAACTGGAGTGCCATGTAGCCTGACTATTTCCTTAATATACAACTGAGCATATTATTCTGTTGTGTCAGTAGATCTAAATGGCAAGAAATGTGCTGATTTCATGAGCCGATCTACAATCACCCAAATTGAGTCAAACTTGCATGGAGTACGCGGTAATCCTACCACAAAATCCATATTAATCATTTCCCACTTCTACATTGGAATTTCTATGTTCTGTGCCAACCCATCAGGCCGTTGGTATTCGGCCTTTACTTGCTGACAATTCAGACACCTTGCCACAAAGTCCGCCACGTTCCATTTCATGTCATTCACCAATAAACTTCCTTGAGATCATGATACATCTTCGTAGAACCTGGGTGCACGGAATACCTAGAAGTGTGAGCCTCAGTCATGATTCTTTTCCGAAAATCATCTACATTTGGAACACATAGCCGCCCTTGGTACCTTAGTGTGCCATCATCCATGCCAAGAGTAAAAGTCATAGTATTATGTTTATGAATCCCTTTGTTTCAGTTGCACCAAAAATGGGTCGTTGTATTGCTTCTCTTTGACTTCCACAACAAGCGATGATTCAGCCTTATTTCCTTCCGCACAAATGCCTATCTTTGCCCAACATTTTCTTCAACTCCCCAGTTCACTGTTCAATAAGAAAAGTCCGAACCGCGGCTCGCAAGCTTGCCGCGAAGAAGTTTTACTATTATTAACCTCTACGCCTGCCTCGGCATCACAGAACCCCGATTTTTAGGAAACTTTTCATGGGGCCTTACAATACAGTCTACGGAATCAATCGAGTCTCAATTTCTATGGTGCACGAGTCCAACCATACAAATTTTACCGAATTCCGACATCAACTCGACCCTCAAATCTTCAAATTAAATCGAGAGGGTTTTCTACATTTTCCAACTTAATTCACCAATTAAATGTTAAAATCCACCATGGATTCAGGTAATTTGACCATTATTGAGTTAAGAACATTTACTCCGTTGTTTTCGTTGAAAATCTCCCGAAAGTCTCCCCTTCCCGAGGTCCAATTCGTCAAAAATGGAAAATGGGACGAAGTCCCATTTTCTAAACTTAAAGTTTCTGCCCATGCCTTGCTTCTTCGCGAACGCGACCGTTCCCTCACGTTCGCGAAGCACATTTTTGTGCTCCCCCAAATCCTTCTTCGTGAACGTGAAGGTAGCCTCGCGAACGCGATGTTTTACCAAGATTGTCCTTCACGAACGCGTTCTCCGCTTCGCGAACACGAAGCTTTAATTCTCCACTTCTCCAAAACCTTCTACGCGAACGTGAATGCCATCACGCGTTCGCGATGAACACTGGATCAACCCTTCGCGAACGCGATCCATGCATCGTGAACGTGAAGAACAAACTCGCCTGCCTCCAGTTCCTCTTCGCGAATGCGAGAGCCCTCTCGCGAACGCGAAGAAGGAAACCAGACACTACATCAAACAAATTCCAGCAAAGTTTCAAGTCCAAAATTCAATCTGTTATCCATCTAAAACTCACCCGAGGCTTCTGGGACCTCAACCAAATACACCAACAAATCCTAAGGTATAATACAAACTTAGTTGAAACCTCAAATCAC